ATTTGCAACAGAGTTGGTATTCCATGAAAAACTATAAGGAGCCGTTACGACTTCTGAACCTAAGTTCGCCCCATTAAGTAAGAACTGAACACCCGCTACCCCGATATTATCAGTTGCAGTAGCGGTGATATTGACAATAGCAGAAACATTTCCGGCAACCGGAGCCGTTAAGCTGACAACAGGCGGTGTTGTGTCGGGAGTAAAGGTTGGTGTGAATACGACATCCACCCAGTTATTAGTTGATTGGAAATTACTATTAGGGAATGCACCTGTAGTAGTATAAATATAAAGACCATTCGGTCCGTCGACACCACTGGCAAGCGCAGTGAGGTAGCCATTCGTTACCGAAGAAGTAAAGTATGGATTAGTACTTGAATAATAACCGGAAGGGCTGAAGTAAGATGCTACATAAGTTGTATTAGCTGCGATAGCGACGGGAGTTAAGAATGTAACGGTTTGCCAGCCGGAACTTGTTTCTGACTGGAAGTTTGCTTCCGCTAACTTGGTACCCGTGCTGCTCCATAAGTGGCCGACGTGTACGCCATTGTTAGATGCACCGCCTTTCCAGAACCGAACGCCCGTGATATAACCGGCCTGGGTTGAACGGAATTTAACACCCACTTCGATAGGTTGGTTGTCTGAATCAAGTGGAAGTTGTGGAGTTACAGTTGCAGGGAAAATATTACAAGGACATGTCGGAGACGAACCGGTAATGGTTATGGTACGATTGCTGGCAGAGCCTGCAGCACCGGGTGTTCCCATGTTACCACTATCATCAAAACCTTTTACCATTATACTTGCAGGACCAGCAAGAGTAGGAGTCCACGAATAAGTCCAACTGGTAGTACCTGTTACTGATTTCCATGTAGTACCACCATCGGTGGAAATATAAACACCTACCAATGTACCACCCACATCACTTGCGGTACCGCTGATAGTGACAGGTGTGTTGACGGTCAATGAAGCATTGTTTGCCGGTGAAGTGATGCTAACCACCGGTGCAGTGAAATCGGTGGATGCTGTAGCGAGTGAAAGACCCGACATAATGGATCCGGGTTGTACTCCCATATCAGCAAACAGATTCACCGTAGCTTGTTGCATAGGCAAACTTGCAGCCGCGGTGCCGCGGTCGTGAATATTGTCGAGACCCCATGCCCATTGAATGGTACCGGCGCCAAATACCAATGCACCACTTGGATGGCGGTACAATGATAACTTATGCACCTTACCGCTCACAGTTTGCGTGGAAAGCGCAATTTGTCCTAATGGATAACTTTCCGTGTATTGTTGATAATCCCACTCGTAACCAAGTGTACCAGCCGTG